CTTCATCAGAAAATCTGATGAAGGGTCTAGGCCCGAAACGTCAGCCTTCCTGCTCCTATGATGCTGCTTGGCCTGCTGTGTTCATCCAGCTCTACACAATAGTCATTATACAGCTATCTTTCTGTAGATGTTGCAGGACTAATGACTTATTTTTTGTTTGTTGAAGAAAATGGAGGTTGGAAGTTTCAGGCAATGAATTCCCAGTGGTTAGTGCAGATAGCTGTTAGATGTGTTGCGGGGTGTGCAGTGCGAGGGTGTGGTGGTCTGGGGGAGGGGGGGTGTTGGTGTGGGGGTGGTGGAGGTAGGGTTACTTGATCATAGAACATAGAACTTTACCGCACAGGAACAGGCCCTTTGGCCCATGATATTGATCTGAACATGACACCAAGTGAAACTAATCCCTTCCGCCTGCCATTGGTCCATATCCCTCCATTCCTTGCATATTCATGTGCTTATCTAAAAGTCCCTTAAATGCCCCTATTCTATCTGCATCCACCACCACCACCATTGGCAATGTGTTCCAGACTCCTACCACTCTCTGTGTAAAAAACTTGCCCCTCTTGTCTGCTTTGAACTTTCCCCCTTTGACCTTAAAAGAATGCCTCCTAGTATTAGACATTTAAGCTCCAGGAAAAAGATTCTGACCATCAACTGTATCTATGTATCTCATAATTTTTATCGATTTCTATCAAGTCTCCCCTCAGCCTGCGCCGCTCAAGAGAAAGCAACCAGAGATTTTTCTAGCCTCTCCTTAGAGCTCATACTCTCTAATCCAGGCAACATCCTGGCAAACCTCTTCTGCACCCTCTCCAAAGCCTTCACACCCTTCCTGTAATGTGGTGACCAAGATTGAATGCAATACTCCAAATGTGGCCAAACCAAAGTATTATAAAGCTGCAACATGACATCCTGACTCTTGTAGTCAATTCCCCAATCAATAAAGGCAAGCATGCCATATGCCTTCTTTACCACCCTATCGACTTGCATGTCTACTTTCAGGGAGCTACAGACTTGAACCCCAAGATCCTTCTGTACATCAATGCTGTTCAGAGTCCTCTTATTAACTGTATACTTTCCCTTAACATTTGATCTCCCAAAGTGCAGCACCTTATACTTACTTGAATTAAATGCCATCTCCCATTTCTCCACTCAAATCTCCAACTGATCTATATCTCGCTGTATCCTTTGACAACCTTCTACACTACCCACAACTCCACCAATCTTTGTATCGTCTGCGACCTTACTAAATCACCCATCTACATATTTATCTAAGTCATATATATCAAAAACAGCAGAGGTCCGAGTGTGAATCCCTGCAGAACATCACTAATCACAGACCTTCAGCCTGAAAAACACCCTTCCACCAATACCGTCTGTCTTCTAAGTGTAAGCCCATTCTGAGTCCATGTGGTCAAATCACTGTAGTTCCCATGCATCTTAATCTTCTGGATGAGCCTACCATGGGGCACATTGTCTTACTAAGGGACAAAGCTTTACTAAAATCTATGTAAACAACATCCACAGATCTACTCTCATTGATCACCTTTGTGATTCAATCATGTTATTAAGGCATGACTTGCCCTGCACAAAGCCATGCTGACTGTCCCTAATTAGGCCATGCTTTTCCAAATATGCATAAATCCTAGCCCTAAGAAATCTCTCTAATAGCTTTCCAAATGCTAATATGAGACTCACTGGTCTGTAGTTTCCTGGGTTGTCCCTATTTCCCTTCTTGAACAGAGGAACAACATTAGCTACTCGTCATTCCTCTGGAACCTGTCCAGGGGCGAGCGAGGATACAAACATCTTGGTCAAGGCCCCAGCAATCTCCTCACTTGCTTTTCTCAATAACCTGGGGTAGATACCATCAGATCTTGGAGACTTATCCATCTTAGTGCTCTTCAAGAGATGCAGCACGACTCCTTTCTTGATCTCAACATGTCCTATCATATTAGCATGCTCTACACAAATCTCACAATTCTCCAAATCCTTTTCCTGGGTGAATACCAGTGCAGAATACTCATTTAGGATCAAACC